TAGTTTTATAGGAGAAACTAACAGGGAGGTTGGAGGAAAAGTATGAAGTGAAAAATCTCTCCTTAGTTATAATGTTATTTAATTTTAAACCTGGTGTCAAATGGTTTAGTGTGTGAACAGTATGAGATGCATATTTGGCTTTGGCATGCTTTGGTGAAAAATATTGTTGTCATCTTTAATATATTTTATAATATATTTCATATAAAAATAATATTAATCCATTGATATAGCAATATTTCATATATTTTAATTCTGCAATGTGGTAGCCATACCATAGTTTAAAATATTGCTTATTGAATATATCAGGTGAAGATAACCAAGGTATTACAAATAATTAATCAACAAGCTTTTTAGCATCTGCAATATTAAGTAAAAATAGTTTACATTTAATAGCAAAGTTAGTAAGGAAATAGCCAGGGAATGTGCCTGATACCTTAGCTACCTAACAATAATTTTAAAAATAGAAATATAAAATGTAAATCTAACATAGTTTAAATACCATAAGCATGCACAAATAATTCATTAGCAAATAAAAGAAATAAAATTCTAGCATTGGTGAATATGTTCATCCCAGATATAATTAGGATGCTTTTTATTAGTTTTTTTAAATAATTTGTTTATAATGTTTACTAATTTTAGACAATTCATTTTTGAAAGGGCAAATTACTCTCTCTCTCTCTCATCCTAGCGTTAATCCCCAAATCAGCAGGGTCTGCTTGTCGGCACGCCTGTCTCCATTTGGTGGTTTGAACCAAATATTTGAGCTGACGTTGCCATTAAATGTGACCCAGAAATACTCCAACCGGCGCGTCGTGAAAGGGCAAATTACTATTAATTCAAAAACAAAAAAACAGTTCTGGTCTCAGCTATACTATATTTATCATTTGTTGGTTTTATTTGCACGGTAAGGTGGTCTCAGAAGTAAGAGATTACCAATAAATGTGTCACCCATGCTATTATAGAGTCAAGGAAATATGCTCTTCTTGTAGTAATTAAGGAAATGTGGTTTAACACAACCATAATAAATAGTACATGGGCAGGTTATTTACAAGTTATATATAGACAAGTGAACTACTAGATTATTAGTATTGTATATAAAATATTATCTATACAAATCATGCTCTTAATTCAAATGGAAATGTGTTTTGAAGTTGCTAACATAAAGCGTTAAAATTTAATTATCTATCCTAACTGCTTAACATTACGAGACATACAAACACAAAGAGTCAAAATTCCCAACAGGATGGACACCTGGCAAATTCATCACACTACAAAAAGTTAATGAAAAATGTAACCTTAATTATTTCTGGTCTCATATTGAATTTAACATATGTGTTGAAAGAACAAATGTACTGCATTTATTCAGTGTAAATATTGAGGGACTTTGTAGGAGATGTACAGTACAGTAAACTTAGGTGAAAAGGTTTTGTTTAATCAGTACAGTACTGTATATCCTTGCAAGGATAAAGACTTTTCTAGTACTTTTTAATTTTTGGCCTTTATAGGACATATTTCTTTCCGTATTTACAGATCTATTAAAAAGCTTACTTTTATTCAACTTCAGAAAATTGAAAAAAATTGCATTCAAAGAATGCATCACAATTACATATGATCATACAAATGTTCACATCAAACATTGCAATCAATATCAATATCACCTATTCAATATTCGAGCTACTGGGAGTAAATTTAATTTTGTGGATTGCACATACCATTTTTGATTTTTAAAGCAGATTATTTAGTGGATTATTTCCTTCTATGAGATTGATGGTGTTATTAAAATGCAGCATTACTCATCACTGAGCACTGTTTTAGGATCAGAGTTTTAAGCTTGATCATGCAGTCCACATTTCAGTGTCACTGGGGAGAAGAGTCGCTATCCTTTCATAGGTACAGAATTGATTCCAATCACACATTTTAGGGTATTTCTGTCTATGAGAGGAAACCCTTTGTTTAATCATGCTCATTTTGTTTATTTTTCCTGTAGCCTTGTACCTAGTGCTAGACTGGGGATAAAGCCCTCAAATATGAAATCACCATGAACTGACAAAAGAGATTAGTTTCTAAAATCTAATATGCATGTCTTTGGGAGGTGGAAAGACTTAAGAACTTAAGAAAGATTTAGATCTTTCCAAATCATTCAATTCATTTGGTAGCTAGTACAGTAGATAATTGATCCAATGATCTTATCCATCTATTACTTGAATGAAGCCAACATACTGTACCACCCTAACCACATGGCTGGGTAGAATATTCCATATTCCTACTACCCTAGTAAAGAAGTTCTACTGTAGTTCCTCTCACTTTTAAATGCACATCCATTTGTGTCCTCTGAGTCATGTTTCTCTGTTCATTTTGAAGACATCCATTGTCTTAATCTGACAGATTTTAAATGCTGTATCAGGATGTATCAGCACACTGCAATAAACCACATGAGCATGTGGGGGACATGCAAACTTCACGCAGAAGGCATCCAAGTCTGAATTCAGCACATGAGAGTTGTAAGGCAGTACCAATAAGACATACATATATATTTTAATATTTTTAAAAATTAGTTTAGCTAGAATGAGAAATTTCATTGAATATGGATGTTCTGTATCATGATCCTTTACTTCATGATACACCATTTATAGTTCATTTTCAAAACTTTGTTGACTCCTGTTAATCAATGATTCCTTTAATTCAGTAATACTTTTTCTAAAGAAACTCGTTATCAATATATGTGTAACCTCATTCAGCATTTTGTTTTCTTTTCTTAGAAAGGTAGGGAGCACAATGGTTCATTAAAAATTGATATTCTGGCATTGTTGGTTGGCACAATGCTTTATTTTTAAATTCAGACTAATTATTTATCAAGTAGTTAGTGTAATGGATCCTGAACTAAATCAGCGTATGTGACATTAGAATTCTAATTTGTTCCAAGACCATTAAACAGAGACAAAAAATAGCATATGGTGATTTGTGTATCCAATATGTGCCATAACCTTGATACAGTATATTATTTTACATGTCTTACATGTTCAGCTAACTGTCTGTAGGTGCCCATGGTAGAGAAAGGGCCTGCCTGAAAGTCTGTATTTTTATTGATCCCAGAAATATTAAGAACATCAATCCCATTAATGAATTTCCCTTTTTTGGATATTACAGTAGATGTCACGATTGTAGTCCCTGCCCCTTAAGGGTGCTCCGGCTCTTCCTTGTTTGCCTCATTCCCCGCACCTGTTCCTTGTTCTAGCCCCCTTAAAAGCCAGGCGCTGACATTAATCCAAGCTCTGCATCTGATTCCCATATCGTGCAAACCCGGGACCTGGTTGCGCCTGGCTCCATTATGTTTTAAAGTTTCTATTCCTGTTCCCCTCGCCGGTTCCGACCCGGTTCCTGTTTTTAATCCTTCGTTTTGGATGGATCACCTGGCCATGGACTTTCGCCCGTTTTTTGGATTCGCTTATGGACTTATTCTTTGGATTGTTTGCCTCGGCCACACCTTCCCCGTATACCAACACACCAAGGACACGCCCCTGTCTTCATTCCCCTCTCCTGCATGACTTTTCCCCCCGTGTTTTCTCACTTTAAGCCGGATTGTGTCATCCGCATAGGGTCCCGAAAGAGCTGTTCGTTACAGTGGAACTGAAAATAAAATTTTAGAATCTTGCCAGTATTCAATTTGTCAGTACACTACTCTTTCTTATTATTCCCATGTAAAATATTTTGTTTATGTTTATGTTTACTTTGTTAAGTATATGTTTACTGTAAATATTTATGTTTTTAATAAATCATAGAACAGTGTATTAAGGGTCTCTAGTATTTAAATTATGAATGAGGTGTAGTAGAAAAAAAGAATTTATCAGAAACAAGAGGTGTAGCAGTGAGATTGACATTTTCAAGTTAAATATGACAATACATTCCTGTTTTAAGTACCTGAGCTACTGTAGGCAGCTGAAGGAGAAAGTCAAAAGTTATGGGCTGTACAGTGTGTATGAAACTGAGGGTGGTATTTGCACAACCTCCTTTCAGTACTTTAATATACTTTAGAAGTTTATAGTTTTTTTTCTTTGGCAGGTTTGAAATTTCAAAAAGCATTCTCAGAAAAAAAAGTTAGAGCATGTTCATTGAAATTCTTTTATGAAGAGATGTCAGTGCGTCCCTAGCAGAGTGATAGGAAAACTATTTGCTCTTATCTGAGTTCAGACTAGAGTCACATTTACTCAGAAGTTCTTCAAAGGCTCATGGGGATTGTCTTTATAATGTAGAAAAACCTATCCTGTTTGTAAAACTAGTGTGTATTCCTAAAGCCAAGATTTGGTGTGTAACAGTGCCCAGTAAAAGAGCAGAAGGAGGATCGACTGCCACATGAAGCCAGTGTGCCTGCAGTGCTAATGAAGGGCCTGGATTATGTTTTAATGGGTTAATTATAGTTTGCCATTGATCTTGTAAAAAATAACAAGGGCCTAAATACTGTCTAACTTGATTTATGTTTAGTAATCGGTCCAAAGAGCTTTAATCTATTTTAAGAGATAACTGGAAATGTAGGACAATCAAGGATTGGAGGTTACTTTTGAAATATTTTACTAATATTTTGATCATTTTTATTGAGAAGCTTTTTACTTTTGTATTCACAGAAATATTCCATTATGAATGCAGTTCTCTCTGGTGAAATAAACAATTGTTAGCCCATTTGATACATTCCACTCAAAAGAAACCTCTTCCAACTGGAAGTTATTGGTTCCCCCTTTGAGGACAGTATGTTGGGGTATATAGCTTTATTGTTAAATCTCTGAAAGAAAAGCATACCTAATGAGTTTTGATCATATGCAGGAATGACTACATAAAAAATAAATTATAAAAACAAATATAACTGTATAATTTCCTAATTATATTGATACAAAGACCCTTTTTTATTAAATTTCCCACAGTCTATTTTTATTTGTTATGATAGTGATTTGTAAGTAGCAGTGTTATGTGTAAATTTCATACATGTCTTCCATCTTCTCTCTGTACAGTACCTACATGAAAATGGAGTTGTCCATCGAGACCTCAAGCCTGAAAACCTCTTGTATGCCACTTCAGCTCCAGACGCTCCTCTCAAAATAGGTATGGTACTGATAATCCTTACTGAGCTGCCATAAGACTCTGGGATGTATTTATTGATTCAGGTAAACTTGGTTCAAACTCAAGCTCATATTCATGATCAGTTAGGTGTAAGGTGGCTTTCTAAATTTTGTTTATGACATTGTCTTTTGATTTCTAAAAACATTTTTGGGAAGAAAAGATAAAAATTATATTAGTATTTAGCGGCAAGTGTATGTGTTATATGTCCACTGTGTTGCAGTGATTAGGTTTGATTTGGGATTAGATGTCTAAGGCACAACAACCCAATAGATGGTTCGTTTTTCTGTTTATACTTCTAAACAGAATCTCAGGGCTAGGGCTGAGGTAACCAGCTCTGATGTCATAGAATCACCTTCCCTCCCTAATTTGGTCCATTTTCCAATTTACCTTCTCTGTTTCCAATTTTGTCAAAACTAATGTGGTTACTTCAGCTCTAACTGAAGGATGAAGTTATTCCATCCACCAAAAAGCTCCAAACTCCTTTCCCAATGGAGAAAACTGGCGCTTAGAGAGTAATGTCTCCAGTAGTAGCTACATTTATTCATTGAGAGAGAGAACCTAATTTCTTCCTTCACAGACCTAAAATAACCTGTTCCCTAACTGCTGGGAAATGTCTTTCCAAAATAGCCATGTAGTTTTTAATACAGCCAAAGTCAATGGGCAAGCGCTGAACCTTCATTACTTGCTTTGGTGCCAACTCTTGTTGTTAGAAAACTGGTCTAACCAAAAGACTTGTTAACTGATAGACTGTTTCCTGCTATTTTTAGCTATTTATAAAGGAACCTAACAGGAGTTTGCTGCATTAGATCTGTAACACTTGTGTATGAATGCCTGCACTGTCTCTCTAAGCCTCTCTCCAAAATCTTAAAACACCAAGGATAGCTCAGAGAGACAACTATTCTGCTGCAGTGTCAAGTTTTTTTTTTGTGTTTTAGTAACATTTATACCAACATATTTTTATATAAACACTACAAGTTTCAAGTACTGTATCAAGACAAAATCTGAATCCAAAACAAAAGTAGGGGAGCATTCACTCTTTTTTTTTAAACATTACTTTACATTAACAGAACTGGAAAACATCTGATGTTTGGCCTGAGCACCCCTCTTTCTAATACAGACCAGGTTTTATGCCAGGAAATTCAAAGTCATTAATTATTTTAGAGCATATACTGTAAAGGATTATGTTTTTCCTTAAAGTTTGTTAAAATTGTATCCATTCATCCATCCGTTATCAGAAAGCAACTTCTCCTGGTGGACGTTATGATGTTAACTTGTATACAAGCTGTCTAATTCATAATAACATAAAATTAAAACTGAGAAAACTGCCTGAAAACAATAGTCTGAGTGAAATCCCTTAGTGTTTACAATGTAATGTTTGTTTTCCCAGCTGATTTTGGCCTGTCAAAAATTGTGGATGACCAGGTCACAATGAAGACTGTCTGTGGGACTCCAGGATATTGTGGTGAGTCAACAGTTTTAAGTATAGTGAACATCAAAAGAAATATATCACTATTTCCACACGTGTGTTATTAGAAAAATTAAGTGTGAATATAAAAATGTTTAAGGCACCCTTTTTATTAATTGATCCATCATGAATGATACACTCTTCTGTCTCTCACTGTTGCATGAGCACTAAATCATCTCCTTATTGATATAGTTAATTGGGTACAGGTAATGAGGTTTAATGTCAAACTAATAAAGAAAAACATAAAGGATATAAAATTTCCTGTTTATCAAATGAAACTTCTTTGTGAGATCTCAATGTTGGAGACGGAGACCAAGTCACCTCAAGGCAATCATCAATAGTAAAGTCACCATCAATAGAGCAATAGAGCAATAGAGCAGCTTGCTCAGGAATGGTTGAGGCAGTGCCAGAAGTCTCCAGCTCAGGGGAGATAAAGAAGACCAAGAAGAAGAGGGGTAAGCAGTCTCAAATGGAGAACCAGGAGAAGGAGAGGAGAAGTGCAACCCAACCCCAGTTGGTCATCAGCTTTGAAGAGCAAAGCTAAGCTCTACTGGGTGAAAGTCCAAACAGGGGAAAATCGGAAGAAGACTGAAATGGAAGTACTATAGCAGGAGCTGGCACTGGAATCTGATCTCCAAGATGCAGATCAGCCAGCTGCTGAAAATTCAGGCTGAGAGTGAAAGCTCATTGCAAAGCCATTTGAAGGAGATGGGCAATTAGCTGGAACGCTCTTGGAGCAGTGTCAGCACCCTTCAGACTTGCTGAAAATATCCAAGCAGGAAGTGTCCAACCTCCTTTTTTGCAAGCCCATCTGGAGCAGGCACTTGCTCAAAGAAACCAACTGGAGGAGAGATTCTTTCTACCGTAGTCCTGCTGCAAAATAGTCAGCAGGAAGAAAATAAGAGAATGAAGAAAATGCTCCAATTTAGAGCAATTATCAAGAAACAGAATGTCAGTGAGGTCCACAGATGTCTTTTTGTGAGGAGTGTAGACAAGCTGAGCTCAATTCAGGCCATGAAGGAGGTTGCAGAGCTGCAGTGGACCCAGTGGCATGTTGAAATGAAGGAAATCTTTCAGTTGCTTTTCACTCAGATTACCCTGTGCACAGAGGGCACTGCCTCCTCAAATTCAGACAAAAAGTACAAGAGTTTCTCAGACAGCCTTGCATGGAGACACAAGGTCTGAAAGAGATGTTAAAAGAGGAGCTCAAATAACTTTATAGGCATAGTGTGAATAGTAAAGAAGTGGCTGAGAGGGAAAGCTTGATGGGGGACCATCAGGGTTATTGGGAGACTTAGGTAGCACAACAGCCCTCGATGTGCCATGGACAGAGGGATGTCCCCACTTGCAATTCTCTCCGTAGAGAAGGGCCAGTGTACTCAAATGGCCTAAAATTGCCTAGAAACCTGAGGGAGCCCTGTTTAGGGGGTACATTGGCTCTGGTAGAAAAGGGAAAGGAAAAAGAGAGGCACAAATCCCAGAAGCTGAGGGAGATCAAGCTCCAGGTCTCAGGGGCCAATGACAGGTAGCTGTTTTTGTCCTGGCTAGACTCTCCAGAGAAGTTGGCATTAAGTCCCACGAGGCGACAACATACTATCTCCATTCTGACTAAACACACTAAGGGCTGTAGAAAAGCAGTGGTGATTGCACAAGGGAAGGTGAGAGAAGGTGGATGTTGCAGCCAGGGCAATGACGCCATTATCCCAGTGTCCAGGGCAGAGTTTCTATTCAACCTGCCGTCAATGTGGCAGGTGGTTAATGTCCCTGTTGGGTGAGAGCATAGGTGGGGTGGAATGTGGTAGGCCAGCTGTATTGGGCATATTAGTTTCAATTGACCTGCCACTGGAAGTCATTTTAGGCCTTGTACAGAGATTCACAAGTGGTGTATGAGTTAATTAATTAGATAATTGGTGAAGGGTGAGAGTCACATTCTGACACATTCTGGGTTTCATTTACTGTAGTTTAGGTTTGGTTTATATACAGTATACGAACTTAGTGTAATCATTGTCAATTCAGGTCCCACTTAATGACAACTCTCTGGGTTCTCAGTGAGTCCTCTCATCTTTATCTTCAAAGAAATAGTGTAATCCTGGCATTCAGAGTCCCTGAGCAAAATAGATGCATGCACTGAGACTGAGAGTGACACTGCTTTTTATTTTCTATTTATTATTTTTATAACATTGGTGTCTTGCATTAAGTAATCTAGGTCAATCTAGGGACTGGGCTCCTGGTGAGAAATTGTGTGAGGGTTATTTTTTTAATTCTTAGCTTTCTTTTTAACAAATGAACTGCTGTGGTGGGCTGAATAGCTCCCTGCATTTCTTGTTCCTTTCTTGTAACAGAAAGTCTGAAGGTTGCCCTGTGCTTTACACTTTCCATTACAATTACTTTACCATTTTGAAATATAATCTATATTTCCTTTGATCTCCCACTTCCTTTAAGATCTATTTCTTTTGTTTGTGCCTTGAAACAATCCCACCTTTATTAGCATGTCTCATGGAATTTGCCTTTTGTTCAGGACTACTCATCTAACCATCATGTTTGAAATGAAATTCTTCCTGTTGTTGCAAGCTGCTTCAGGCTGCTCACTAAGGAAATGTCACATCAATTTTAGGAGTACAAGAAAGTGAAAGATTATCAGAAAAATCTGAGATATTTCATCAGATCAAAGAAAACGCAGAGTGCAGGCTCAGAGAATTGTATTTATCCAGCTCCAAGCTTCTGTATTAATGTATACATTCAAATGATACTACTGAACTCAAAGGGATTAACAAGTCAAAACATACATGCTGCTATATTCACAATTAGGCTGATAATAATCTATTACATACAGTACAGTACGTAGGTACTTATTTATTCAGTCTTTACAATTACTTTTTACTTGCTTGTTGGAGAATTGACTATATGTTCATTCTGTTAACCTGTAGCCACTATTATTGGAAAAGCCATTTCTAATTTAACATTGGTTAATTTATTAGTGTTGACTTGAGTCCAGTGCAAAGAAAGTGGTACCTAATTAGATTGAGCAGATAACAAGCTGTTGTTTGGTTTGAGGAAAAAACTCGAGATCTTGACTATAAATTATAAGGTGTAAGTGTTTGTTATAAGGACTTTTGTAGCTATGGAGACAGAAAAATGCTACTGATGGAGAACAAGGGTATATAATAGGACAGTAGTTTTCTTGATGTTAGTTTGGTATTAAAATACCTTTAATTAATTTATTTTCTGGTCTTTGATGCTCACTTTAAGGTTATATCTGTGTTACATATTTAGGTTGAATCTAGAGTTTCATATTTACTTAAGTATTTAAGCATTGCAAAAACCAAAATGTATATGTACAGAAGTCACATAAATCTACTTATCGGCAACTTTGTTTGGATGTACCTGTAACTGATGTTAACAACGGTTTATTATTTGTTTTTAAAAAGGGGAAGGAAAATATAACAACAACAGACACATTTGTTACAGTATATACACATACACATACTTATAAACAAAGTAAAAATTAATAAAGTAAAACTAAAAATATTTTTAATGAATAGCTCACTCCAACAAATGTTTGACCATTAACATTAATGGTGCTTACATTTTACCGCCTATGGTTGTGACAATTTTCAAAAACAATTTTGGAACCCCAAAATATTTTCTTATTTTTTGTCTAATTTTGCAGATTTCCAGTTGTTGGGCATTTAGATCACACTTCAACACTCATGTGAGAAATACATAGATAATGATTACTTGCATAATGCAGGCATAGTTTTTAAGTCATCTTCAGGATCTAGGTGTCATTGATAATGTTATAAATTCACAGCAAGGCTGGCTAGCCCAACGCCTCACGGTTTTGTAACAAAACAAAGCAGCCCTTACCCATTTGAAAGTACACAATTACACCAATACTTGACCAAATGTAAACTAACTCCTTAGAATTCTTGGTTAGAGTCTTCCAAAGAAATGGGCTTTGTTCGCTCCTGCAAGTGGGTTCACTCACTGGTTCGGTCCCTCTTACCGAATCCATAACAAGACTTTTACAAGTTGTGTCCACTGAGAGCCACAGGGGACAATTTCATTTGAACCTGAGCTTCACACAATATTTCTTTCAGTGTCATCAGAGTCCTTTAAGTTTTATGTCTTTCAATAGGCAACTGATGAATAGCTTCAAAGCAAAAGACATGGCTTATTATTCAAATAATTAGTTCAAGAAATTAAGATATAAGCAGAAAACCCTCAGGTCCTTGAGGGCTCAAGTTGCCCATTCTTATATCATGTTTATGTTTTTTAATTATTTATTAAACAGTCCTGTTTCTGAATTAAATAAAGTATAAAGGCATATCCAACCTTTAACTAAAAGGTAAAATTTTCTCTGAGCTTTATTAAGCCTTGCAACAAATATGGACATTCAGTTATATACCAAAAGGAAAACCCTGAATTGTCATATTTAGAGTGGAGAATGGCTGTTCTGTGTTTCATAAGAGATATACCCATCTACAGGATATCTGATCATTTGGGTAAACACTAAGCAACTGCTGGTAATCTCATGAGATACAACCAGATACATTAATGTCGAAACTAAAACTGCCAGGCCAGTGATATTGACAAACACAACCAGGAGACTGGTGAAATGGATGGTACTAAAGAAAAATCATGCCAGCATTAATCATTCAATATGTCAACAATCTGCTAGAATTTTAAATAGGATGCTCATACCTGAAGGCTAATTGTAAGAGCAGTTGCACACATATGAGTGCACAAAATAGCCTGAAGTAGCACTAAGAAAATTAATATCAGTGTGAAAAGCTTCCCTTGGGGAAATGTATTGAACTAGATATTTTTCTTAAATGGATTCAGAGTGCAACTAGTCCAGTGTTTTTACAGTGAATAAAACAATGAATGATGCTGCAAATTCTGTGCAGTTTTGCAGTCAGAACCATTATTTCAACTAGAATCATATCATCATGACCCTCAGCCAAGCACATTACTTTTAAGGTTGTGAACAGAGC